AACTTTTACGTGGTGTTCGGTGGCGTTAATAGTCACTTCCTGAACAGACTGGGCGGCAGATTTAAATGCGAGTTTTTAAATAATTAACCATGTCCACACTAACCCCCCTCTCCCCTACAAGTTCACTTTTTATGGGTGCCTTCTCATGTCGGAATTGAAGGTAAAGAAATTGTAGATAAACTGGCTAAAAACGCACCAACTAACCCGATGTCCGAAGAAAGTAACAAATTGTTACAAAACGATTTAAAACGATACTTAAAACAAAAAATAATTCAAAAATGGCAACAAACTTGGAATAACACTCCATCAAGGCTATAAGAAGTCAACAAACTCTCACATCTTTGGAAACAAACAATAAAAGACAGAAGAGAGCAAGTGATACTTACCCGTCTCCGTATCGGCCATACATGACTTACTCATGACTATTTATGTAAAATTTTTTTTTTAATACAGTGGCCCAAATATAACAGTGAACGACTCAAACATAACATACCCAACTCCCTAAGAGATACCCAAGAAGAAAATACAGATACGTGAAAAATATTTTCCTATCTTAAAGACTGTCAACTTCTTCAAAAGATCTAAAACGTACATTATAACACACATAAATATTATTATTTTTATTATTGTAAACTAATGTATATTCACTTATTGTATCAACTCATTAACTTAAATACGTTAATGACCCTGCGTGGTTGATGCGTTAATAAAAAAAAAACTTCTAAAATAATAATCCATTAAGCAACGCCGCATAAATGATCCTCTCTATAGATTCTCTTGTTCGCGGTTTCAGATAAATCTGTTGTACTGTACAAAATTTTCGAATCGAATCAAAAAAATTACACCTGCTACAAGAAATTTTTTTATAAATTAGATTAACTGTTGTAGTATATTATAATACTAAGCAAAATATTCTATTAATTATTTTATCAAAAATAATTATGGGTATATATTTTAGTGTTCTAGTCGATTGATATAAGCAGTGAGATTTTCTGTGTCATTAATAATTAAGTAGAGAAATCTGAGCTGAAAACTGTCTGAAAGTTCCCAGTAGGCTACAACAATATGGTGCTGTGCTTAAAGATGTTTAGCTAATTTATCTCATGAATCCATGTCGTAATTCGAAATGTTACAACAAACAAGATAGCTAATCTGACGTCTGGTTGAGTCTGTCATTAAAGGGCATAAGGGCTGTGAATAACCCTTCTCAATGCCTAAACCATTATCACTCGCACTGGCATTTGTTTCTAGGCGATTTAATCAATCCAAAAGGGTGATGTATCATTAGGGGTTGAGAATTTACCACATGCAACGTTATATACAATGTATGTGACATACTTTTTATAAAAAACGTAGATTTTTAACAGTTGAGCTGTTGTTAATAGTAAAATTGTGAGACAAATATTTTACGTTTTCTAAAGAAACGTATTACCTAGACGTCATAAAATATATTCTGAAATATATTCGTATTTATTTTAGATTGCATAAAATATAGTGTTTAAAAAATAATAATAACAAAAGAGACCTTTAACCCTTTAACGGACCAAACAGAAGGGACTTTTAGATATTATATTTTTTTATAACTGAGTTTTCATAGATACGATTTACCAAAAATTAGCAATTATAGCATCGTTTTAGGGGTGGTTTTTCAGTTATGTGGAGGTACATACACTCTGTCCGTAAAGTATGGAACAAAATATTTTTTATCTAAACAGAGCATTTTAAGAAATACTCCTGAAACACGTCGATTTTTGATTTTAATTTACCGCATTTTAAAATAATATTCTAATATACAGGGTGAATTACTTTCGAGTAATGACGTCAACGTCATTTTTTTTAAATGGAACACCCCCATTTTGTCTAATTTTCGGATTACTCTAGCTGAGCTAATTCCAAAAATGTATCACATGTTGATTCAAATTGGTACAGGGTGGACAAAAATACAATAAAAAGGAGTGAATAATAAAAATAAAATATAATGGCATGTTTCGCAAAACACAAAACCCAAACAGGTTATCCAGGCATTCCTTTCCCTAGGTAGCTGTAGTTTCCTCCGTGGTTATTGTAAGTTGTTGTCCTGGAAACCATCAAGGACTCAAGAAAGTCAATCATAGGGGACTTGACAGTTTGACGTTTGACCAACGAGTGTATGGTGTGTGATTTGAGCATCGAGTTAGAATCTATGGAGAAGCTATGAGCATATTAACGTATGTATTAAAAACGGCATAGGTAGGAGTGGCTAACGATAATACCAATATGGCGGTGACATCAGGGCCAGACTCAATAATAATAAAACTACTATACAAATATGACTAGTTATTCAGAAGATTTAATCATAATCTAAAAAAGTGCAATACATTTTTAATAAACTATGATTTATTTATCCCGCGGTAAACACTAAAAACACGATATATTATACATAAAGATAAATTAATACAGTCAAATAGTATTAATTTATTCTCTGAAGTACGGGCCATTACTTTGTTTACATATTTGTATACTAACCTGTGGAACGATATTCCTGAAGATTTTTTATTAACATTACTTCTGCTACTGCAACTACGTTGAGAACAAGAAACCATTATTATGCACTATCACAATATATTACAGTTTCTATAAAATTATTATAAAACTGAAAATATTTTAAAAACAACAAATATATCCAAACATATTCTTCTTCTTCACGTGCCATCTCCGCTACGAAGGTTGGCTATCATCATGGCAATTTTGACCCTTAAGGCTGCCGCTCGGAACAATTGTATGGAAGTGCAAGCAAACCACTCCCTGAGGTTTCTCAACCACGACATTCTTCTCCTACCTATGCTGCGGCTACCTTCAATCTTTCCTTGCATAATTAGTTGTAACAGTTGATATTTATTCCCACGTGTAATATGTCCCAGGTATTGTAGTTTCCTCATTTTAACACTCAATACGACCTCCTTTTGTTTGTTCATACTGTCTAATACAACTTGGTTAGTTATCTTATCCTTCCAGGAGATTTTTAACATTCTTCGGTACACCCACATCTCAAATGCCTCCAGCTTACCCATACATTGCTTATTTAGTGTCCACGCCTCCACCCCATACAACAGGACCGAAAAAACATAACATTTAAGCATTCGTATTTTCAGCTTTAGGCTTAGGTTACGGCTACACAACATTTGTTTCATATTGTTAAAGGCACTACGGGCTTTCTCTATTCTTATTTTTATTTCTCTGGTGTATTCGTTTGACTCGTTAATATTTGTTCCGAGGTAATTGTAATTTTGTACTCGTTCAATGAGATTCTGTCCTACATGTAAGTTGATATACTATCTGTCAAACATATACGATCTGTCAAAAGTTTCAAAACAATAATACCAATATGGCCGAAGTAAGGTCGTTTTTAGTCACGCGATGCCCTCTCCATAGATTCTAACTCGATGGATTTGAGTAGAGATGAGCATCGTTAGTTTTACGATCAACAGTAGCGATCAACAGTGATAGTGTGCAAGAAAAGTTGCCTATCCTGCGAGAAATTTAAATTTTTGAAATAAAATGAATGTAGAGAAGTTTATAACTCAAGGAAATTCAATAAAGAAATAAATAAACTATTTTTAGGTTCAAGAAATTTTGATATTGAAAAAATTATAGTATTTTGACATAACTGTAATTCTGTTGTCTGTGGTATTGAGTTCAAGAGAAATGTGGGAAGACGAAGAATACCGTGGCTTAGAAACTTAAGGGAATAGTTTAAATGCAGTAGTGCAAAACTATTTAGATTGATGATTATTTCCAATCTTCGATAGAAGATAGAACTTAAGAAAAAGAATGGCGTTGGAAAACATCGATGTTTAGGCTCGCTATTGTATTCCCATCGATGGTACGGTTCCGATGTTTAATCGATGGTAACCGTCGATGTTTTCCAACTATGCTTATCTCTATATTGTGAGTGTCTTCAAACGCTATCGCCAAAAGCGTTAATATGTTATGGCACGTCTGCATACGATACTGCTGCTACCGCATTCTGTCGATCGAATGTTGAACTATTGAAACAGTAGACGAGCGCAGAACAGAAGTTTTATTTAATGACAAATAGTCATTAAATTTCGCGGCGCACCCACAGGAACTTCAGGGCACACCAGCGTGCCGCTGCACACTGCTTGGGAGTGTGCTGTGTGTGCACTGCTTTAAATAGTCAATATAGGGTAAATTTTATGTAGTGTGAATATACTGTCGATTTTTTCTTAAAAAATTTCTAACTTTCAGTAGCATTTTCTTTATTTTGTCCTATTCTAAAATTTATCGATATTCTCTAATATTTGGTTTGTGTAACTAGATAACGTTGCAAAACTACAAGAGGTGAATTCAGTCTTAACGAAGATTTGCGAATTTCAATTACTGGTAGCATTTAACGGAAATATACGAGTATACGCATATTACTGAATCAACACGTAATTTGTAATTCGGATTCCACCTACGTGGTTAGAAGCTACTTTGACCAGCGTATGCGAAATTCAATTGTTCTACAATGTATACTTGCTGACGTTGCTTCACGGCATTCCATTTCCCCTTCGTCATTATTATGTGATACGAATTGCGGAGGCTATGTAAAATAGCTTACTACTAAATTGTCGATGGGAAATTGGGCTTTATAATTATTAAGGAAATAATTAAAGATACAAGTGGATAAAGGTGTCATGTAACAATTTTTGAAAAAATTGTTTTTTGTCAAAAATGTTCCCTAAATATACTGTATTTTCATTCCGTAAGGGTTTTGTGCATGTATTTTAAACAATTAATGAGATTTCTAAAAGATAAAGGTGTCATATGTCATACTAGGGTGCCTTCTGTAGTGAATAAAGGTGACAAGGTAACATGACACCTTCATCCACGAGAAAAAATTTACTTTTGATTTAGGTGCCACCCAACTTGACACCTTAATTTGAGGTTATGTTACATTTTTATTTCACGAAAGTGATAGGAGTTTGTCTTGCTTTGTGTAGTTTTTATAGTTTAAAATGATGTCAAAATGGCCTAGAGGATCATTTCTATGTTCCTTAGTAAAACTGCAAACAGAAACGTGTTTGCAACAAAAAGGTAGGTAAAATTATTAGTTTTTTAGTTAAATGCAGAATGTTGAGGTTATGCAACAATACTAAAAAGGAAATAATATTAAATCAAATCAATAAAACTAGTAACAAGTGTACATTTAAGTGTTAAGTTTTAAAGCAAGTTAAATTTCTCTATTAATAGTCTAGTAACTAGTTAACTTGGTTTAATATTGTAGATTCTAATTAAACAAAACATTGTGACGTTGTTGCTAAAACCAACATTTTCTTTAATAGCTTTTAAAATGAATGCTGTTAAGCTACTATTGCGCTGCTCGATACTGTTGCTATATTTTATTAATGTTAAAAATACATTTGTAGATACTGCTCATCAGCCTGGAACAAGCAACGAAATTGTAGAAGAAAGGTCAAATATATCTAATCTGAACGGTACTGGCGGGGTTACGTCTGACGAAAACGGTAAGTAAACTAACTAGATTGCAAACTATTCAAGGAATAGGGTTTCTTGTCATAGATAAAACGTTTGCATTTTGTTTTAGATGACGTGCATGCAGTATTTGACGACTCTCTATGTGATAGAGACATAAACTCTGGTAGTGAGTATAACCCTCAAAGCAGTGGAACCTCATCATCAACGAATCAGATAACGAAACTTTCACTCACATTACTGCAGATAGTTCGTTTCAACAAAGGACTGCAGACCACATTTTTGAACAAAAAAGAGAAATCGTTAAAAGGAAAGTATTTGAATTAAAAGAAAAAACGTCAAAAATTCGTCCGAGAAATCCTGACGGATGGAAAAAAAGAACAGCGGCAATTGCTAGAGAGAGGGGAGAAGAATATAGCTCTCAAACGGGAAAGATTGTGGCAAAAAAGGAAGCTAGTATAGGACTATTATGTAAAGAGAAATGTCGACTCAACTGTCGTGTTAAATTTGACACAGAAGCGAGGAAGGCTATTTTACAAAAATATTATTCACTGGTTTGCAATGCAAAAAATGCTTTGTTATTTAAAAGCCAATTTATAAAACCAGTTGCGCGACATATGACAAATATTAAAAAAGCAAAGATGTACTCTTTTACTTACTCAGTAACTTTCAATAAGAAAACTGAAGTAATTTGTCGAGATGCATTGTGTTCCCTTTACCAAATTGGCGCAAACAGGATTGAACTTCTTCAACAAACGTTAAAAAAGGGACTAAATGCTCCATCGCCTGATAGCAGGGATCACCATACAAATCGGCATCATAAGTTAAAGGAAGAAGTAGTGACGTTTATTGTAGAACACATTAAAAAATTTCCAGCAGAACAGTCCCATTACTCGCGTAACAAAAATGAACACAAAAATATCTCTCGCCTCTCTTGAATGTTACACAGATGTACAAGATGTACCTAAAAGAGTGTGAGCAAAATTAACTTAATAAGGCTTATAGAGTAACCCTTTCGTCTTACGTAAAAATATTTTCAACTAAATTTAACTTGTCCTTTGTGCAACAAAGAAGTGACACTTGTAGTGTCTGTGACTCGGGAAAAAAATACAGTAATTCACAGAGAGAAGTACAAATCGGCATTTGATGTTCAAAAACTGGATAGAGAAAAACCAGCTATCCAACCTAATACCTGCTATATTACTATGGATCTTCAGCAAACAATGCCTCTTTCAAAACTGACAACAAATATAGCGTTTTATTTGCGTCAAATGTGGTATTATAATTTTGGGATCTGCACTGCATAACTTCTGAACAAGCACAACCATTTCTCTTTAATTGGACGGAAAATATGGCCAATCGAGGCAGTCTTGAAGTGGCTAGTTGATTGCTTAGGTTTTGTCAATTGCTCAAAGAAAGCCAAAAAAATATTGATCACCTGATTATCTGGTCAGCCTCATGGACAGGACAAAACAAAAACTTTACGCTTATCAGTCTCTATCAGTTTTTGGTATTAAAGGGTATGTTTAGGGTTATTGACCATAAATTCCCTAAGGTGGGTCGACTAAAAATACGGAAAGTTGAAAACATCTATGTGCCTGAACAATATAGTGATCTTATCAAGTCCTCGAGCACTAAAAATAGTGTTGTTGTCAATATGGAAAATTACTTTTATGATTTTGAAGTGTTAACAGCAAAGTTACACTGTTTAACAGGAAAATAAACCTGACAGGGGAAAAAGTCAATTTTAGGGACGACATTAAGTGGATAAGAGTAGACGAAAGTGGTAGCTACCTGTACAAAACTTCTGTAGATGAATTTTCACCTTTTCAAAAGGTAGACCTATTAGGGGTGTAGGGTTGTGTTATAGAGGTAGTACCTTTTATTGGAACGACCACATCGAGCGTCATAGACGGGAGATGGTTCTAGATAACTGGTCCTCATAAGACACCTAACTCTCACTTATGGCTCCACGTGCCACACCCCGGGCAACTGCATTGGTCTGCAGGCTAAACTAAGTGAGGGTAGCCAGATATGGCGAAAATTTCACCGAGTGATTACCGAGTGATACCCTGATGAAGGGCAGCAGCGATCATCAGTACCAGCTCAAGGCGCAAAGGAAATGATCCTGGATCGGCTTGAAACTGGACTACCACAAGCATGACTGGAGCAGTTTGAATGGTTGTGGTACTGCGATGGGGAAGGCAACGGAAAACCACCTCATAAGAATTTCCTAGAATAGTTATCATGGCAATACACTACGATAACAAAAACATCACTGATCATGGTGATCGGATCCCAAGATCCGGCAGGGGAGGATGCACACAAACAAATAGTAGGGCCTCCCTGGTCGTCAGCCAGCGAAATCCCTACGGCCTAAAAAAGGAAGCAAGTTCTCAACACCTAAGGATTGGAACTTGGAATGTACGAAGTATGTACGAGAGCGGCAAAACCCATAATATTGTAAAAGAAATGAAAAGATTAAAAATTGATATATTGGGAATAAGTGAAACACACTGGCAAAATTCTGGACAATGCGATATACTTGGATATAAAGTTTACTATGCTGGAAACAACACAAAACATCACAGAAACGGCACTGCAATAGTAGTTGCCCCACATATTAATTCGGCAGTAAAATCTTTCACTCCCCATTCAGATAGAATGATGCTTTTACAAATTCGAGCAACACCGGTGGACATTAATATATTACAGGTATACGCGCCAACGGCAGATAAAGATGAGGCAACCAGCGAAGAATTCTACGAACAACTGGGAAGCCTGATGAAAATGACAAAAAAACATGAAGTAACAATAGTGATGGGAGATTTCAATGCAAAGGTTGGCAAAGGCAAGGTGAATGAGATCGTGGGAAACTTCGGCCTAGGGGAGAGAAACGATAGAGGTGATAGACTTATATGCTTCTGCCAGGAATATAACCTGCTGTTAAGTAATACACTCTTCAAGCTCCCCAAACGTCGACTTTACACATGGAAATCCCCCGCTGACTCACCTGACAACATCATTAGAAATCAGATAGATTATATAGCAGTACCAACAAGATATAAAAACATGATAAAATCATCAAAAACGTACCCAGGTGCCGATGTTCCTACGGACCACAATGTGTTGGTATGCAGAATGGTCATGAGAGTAAAACGGCTCGAGAAAAGATCTAATTTAAACACAATCGATATTAAAAAACTCACTAACCCAGAAACCGAAATAAAAGTACGAGAACAACTAGGAAAGAAAATAAAGGACATTAACGAGAACACGTCGGACATAATAGAGAGATGGGATAAATCGAGGGAAGCAATCCAAACAACATGCGCGACTCTATTAAAGCGAGACCGACGAAAAAAGAAAGAATGGATGTCTGATGAGATAATGGATATGATGGATGAAAGACGTAAATTCAAGAATAAAAATGCAGAAAAATACCAGCAGATCCACAAAACCATAAGAACGAAAATTCGAGAAGCCAAAGAAAAATGGTTTTCCAACGAATGCAGGGAAATAGAACAATACGAACGAAAATACGACAGTTACAATATGCACAAAAAAATAAAATCGATGACAAACAAGAGGAAATTCAATAAGTCACCCAACAGCATAAAAGATAGCGATGGAAATCTTATCTCGGAGCCATCAACGATCTTAAAAACATGGAAATCATACATAGAAAAATTATTTGCATCTAACAGGACTGATGATCACCTATATGGAGAAGGAGAAACAGGACCTTCAATTCTTAAATCGGAGATAGAAGATGCCATTGCAGCACTAAAAAACAATAAGTCAGCAGGTCCGGACAATGTACCCTGCGAAATATTAAAGATCCTATGTAAATCAGACAAACAGTTCCTTGACAATCTAGTTGTACTTTTTAACAACATATATAATAGCGGTAAAATCCCGGAGAACTGGCTACAGTCAACATTTATTACAATCCCGAAGAAACCAAATGCCCAGATTTGTGATGACTACCGGCTCATAAGCTTGATCAATCATGTCACTAAAGCGTTCACTAAGATCATTCACAGAAGAATATATGATAAATGTGAGTCAAATATTGATAGATCGCAGTTTGGTTTTCGGAAAGCACTTGGAACTAGAGAAGCAATTTTCGCTCTCCAGGTGCTTATACAACGGTGTAGAGACGTTGATAAAGACGTGTATCTGTGCTTTGTAGATTTTAGAAAAGCATTTGACAATGTCAATCATGAACAATTGATAGGTATTCTGCGAAAGACAGGTATTGACGACAAGGACATTCGAATTGTGGCAAACCTATACTGGGGTCAAACAGCAAGAGCAAAAATTGGCAACGAACTCACTGAAAGCGTGCAGATCAAAAGGGGTGTCCGTCAGGGGTGTATATTATCCCCACTCCTATTCAATATGTATTCCGAGGAAATATTTAACAAATGTATGGAAAATGCAAATGAGGGCATTAAAATAAACGGCGAGTTAACGAACAATATAAGATACGCCGACGACACGGTGATCCTTGCCAGTACCATAGACGAATTACAACAAGTAATGGAAAGACTTTATTCAGTTAGTGAGGAATACGGCCTGAGCCTCAACTTCAAGAAGACAAAGTGGATGCTGATAAGCAAAAAGCAACAACCTGCTCGACAATTACGGATAAGTAACATATTAATTGACCATGTAGAATCTTATGTGTACCTTGGCACCAACGTAAATGCAAAATGGGAACAGACCATAGAAATTAAGGCGAGAATAGAACGAGCTAGAGCAGCATTTAGCAATATGAAAAAGCTCCTCATAAGCAAGGATTTGTCTCTTCCCCTAAAACTACGTATAGTTAAATGCTACATTTTTCCGATCTTGCTGTATGGCGTGGAGGCCTGGACGCTGACGGAGACGCTAACGAGAAAACTAGAAGCATTCGAAATGTGGGTGTACCGACGCATTCTTCGTATATCCTGGACCGAACATGTCACCAACATAGAGGTACTCCAAAGAATCGGAAAGGAGAAAGAAATCGTGAATACAATTAAACAAAGAAAGCTTGAATATCTAGGCCACATATTGAGACACGATAAGTACCGTCTGCTACAATTGATTGTCCAGGGAAAAATAGACAGTAAGCGAGGGCCAGGCAGGAGAAGACACTCGTGGCTCCAAAATCTGCGGAAGTGGTTCGGGCTCACATCGGTCGAACTATTCAGAAGCGCCGCAAACAAGATCAAAATTGCCATGTTAATAGCCAACGTTCGCAACGGACAGGGCACTTGAAGAAGAAGAAGACCTATTAAAAAAAGGAAGCAGGGTAGTAACAAACGAAGATCACGTCACACTAAGACGAATTGAAGAAAAAAGGGACAGTATTAGTTCGGTAGATTAGTGACACACAATTTGGCTTTAGAAATGGTATGAGTACAAGAGATGCTTTGTTCGGCTTGAATGTGCTGGCTCAGAGATGCATGGACATGAATCAGGATATGTACTTATGTTTTGTAGACTTTGAAAAGGCATTTGATAAAGTTCAACATAAAAAGCTTGTAGATATATTAAAAAGCAAAAATATTGACAGTCGTGATCTGAAAATTATATCTAATTTATATTGGAATCAAACTGCCAAGGTAAGAGTTGACAGCCAGTACACCGAAAATATCAAAATACAGAGAGGAGTCCGCCAGGGTTGCGTGCTGTCCCCACTACTTTTCAATGTCTACAGTGAAGCGGTATTTCAAGAAGCGCTCTCAGACTCAATAGAAGGTATATCTATCAATGGAGAAGTTTTGAATAACTTACGTTTTGCAGACGATACAGTAATAATTACGGATAACAACAATGATTTACAGAACGTAATGCAACGCCTTAATGAACGCTGTCATGAGTACGGACTGAAGATAAATTTAAAGAAAACTAAATGCATGATCATGACTAAATCTGCACATGCAAA